ATAATATAATACCTGAAGCCTGACTCAAACATCCACGCAGTCAAGCGTCAAACCGCTCGAAGGAACCATCCTCGGCAGAGCCAAAGCCACCGGAGCCGGATTATAAGAACTCGAGAACCACAGAGTCGAGGGCTCCGGGCCCATGGCTTCTGTATAGTGGTTTTTGAAAGTTCTTACACGTACGGTTTGTAGGGCTCACTGGCTCACTGGCTTCAGGGGGCCCGAGCTGCTTCGTGGAAGCGGATCTGGCAGACGCCGGCCTGCAGCTCACCAACGATGCCTGCAAGCAGAGGCGCATGCGGAGGTAATGTTGAAAGTATACACATACCCGGGATCATGTGCACCCGACATGACAAGACGCCGTCCCGAGATGGAAAACCACCCTGAGATAATCTCCGCGGGGCCGATTCCGACATGTCGGCGCGTATTTGGTCACGTCGGTGCGTGCTCTTGAAGAGTGGCGCACCACGCACATTCTTGGCATGTCGGCCGCAAGTTGTTTGGCACGTCGGGGTGTGTTTTGGGCATGTCGGCACGCATTTTTGGCATGTCGGCAGGTTGCTTTTGCGAAATTGTGACTTTCATTTTCGTCCATCTCCCTCGCTCTCTTTCTTCCTGAACTCCTTGAGTTCCTCATAGAAACCTCTGCCGTCTATGTAATTCTGTCTGCGCATCTCGCCGCGCTTTTTTGTTCATGTCGGCGCTCTTTGTTTGGCATGTCGGCATGCATGTTTTGCATATCAGCGCGTACTCCCAGCATGATAGTACATACGTTGCATTCCAAACCCCCGGCGCCATTCCCAAGCGCCTCGCCTGAAATCGCCAGCATCAGTCTGGGGTCCATTGACGAAAGCTGGATGTCCTTGAGACGCGCCTCAGTCAGTCAGCTTTTATTCTTTTAACAAGATTTACCCAGGTATTCAGCAAATGGTGGCACACTCTCATGGTGATCCAAGTGAATGCTCCGACCGTGTCGAGTAGCAATGGTTTCATCCTGCGGGAGCTCCTCCCCGAAATCCTCGATGTCAGAGCCTTGGTCACACCTGCTACTACCAGCCTTCCTTGAGTGTGCAGCATGCTAACAACACTCACCTGCTACACTGCTACACTTGCAGTAGCAGATCAGAAGTGTTACGTGTGAGAGTGCCACGGTGCCACACCGCATGGCGATGCGGCATGTGCTGGCCCTCCATAGCCCTTTGCACCAATGTGCCGAGCAGCTCAAGCCAGCCCTCAGCTCCCCCGCTCATCACAGTGCCGTGAATATTCTGCGACATGCCTCATGCCACGCACCACTTCTCTCGCTTCTACTTCGACAGCCGCCACGGCACACGTCCAGCATCGCTGTGGACCGCTTCGTCTTGCTGGTGGCACGCAAGCTGGAAAGATCATCGAGCCTGCACAATGAAACTTGCACCCACATGCCCACAGCTTTCCGCGGACATATGATGAGGCCTTCATCTTGCAGGCTCGACTTGAGCATTCGCGCTAAGACTGTTGGGCCAAGAAGCAAATTTGGCGAGAGAAGCTTGGAACCCGCCAACCTGGAGAGATCCGCAGACGCACAAATGAACCCCAACCCAAAGACCCGTTGCTGTAGGTCCTTTGAGTCAAAGTGTTCCCGCTTACCCTAACACGCTTAGACATGTTAGGGAAGTGTGCTGTTTCTGACACTCATCCATTCGCTCTAAACGCGGACCCTGCCATTTGCATGACGCGTCCTTCTCAATTATCCCTTGTGCACCCTCAAGACGTCTACAGAAGGGGGACGCTAATATGACCCCGTTGAGACCCTCAAAACCCGTCGGAATGGATGCCAAGATGCGATTTCCTCGCCGGGGGCGTCGGTTCGCTCTCCAAGGCTGGCAGGTGGAAGTCGCGGGACGCCTTCAACGCACGGGATCGCATCTGGGCCAGGCCCAGACTTTCAGGCTCAGGCGGTTCTTCCTCTTGTTCTTTGCATGTTCTGTCCTTTCGGGTGTTGCTGGTAGCGACTTCCGGCGAATTCCTCCCACCCCCATGTTCGCCACGGCTACACATCCACAACTCGAGCCTTTCGCCAGGCCCTACGGCAAAAAAAAACATGCTGGAAGTATGAGCCCCGCATACTCGACACGATGTCGACACATGTGCGATGGTGGGCGAGATTTTCTGTTTGCTTGTTTCACCGCCCGCAACGTAAGATATACCTCGCGCCGCGTGCAGAGTCTGGGAGACTGGGGCATGATCCCCTCCCCCTAATATTAAACACCCCCTTACCCCCTAGTAAATACCCAATACACTATAACAATATTGGGGGTATGTAATATTAGGGGGGTAGGGGGAGGGGTTTAATATAAGGGGGAGAGGATTAGTGGGACACAAGATGAGTGGGCTCTGAAACTTCCGAACCTTCCTTCGCCTTCCGATGTCAGCTTTCATGGGTTCAGATTCATGCTACCTCGAGCTTTGCGTGCCTTCTGTGGGCACACAAAGCATCCTTTAACACCTAGCCTATGAAACTGCGTAGAAAATACAGGAGAAAGGCAGCACCGGCCTCGCCAAAAAAATCCCTCGAGATTGACAGACAGACGCACGGGGACGTAGGGAACCATCCCATGGGGAAAAACTCCATGCCTGCCCGAGCATATCGCGCGTATTCCTGGGCTGGGCAGGTCGGACAGCGGTTTCCAACGCAATGATGGTAACGCTGTCAGCCCTTTGTTTGTGGACGCTAATTTGGCTGGCGCCCAAGAACTCGTCAGCGTGTTACAAGGCTCCTTGATTGCGAGGCTGTACTTCAGCAGAGGCTCTGGTCCAGAAGATTCAGCTTTTCAATCTCGACCTGGGACCACATACGATGAGGACGCCGCGCCTAGGCAGCACAGAGAAATCCAGAGAAAGAGAGTAAGAGAGAGAGAGAGAGAGCGAGAGAGAGAGAGAGAGAGAAAACAAGAAAAAGAGAGAGAGAGAAAGAGCGAGAGCGAGAGCGACAGCGAGAGCCTTCCAACTCGAACGACGAAATAGCCATGACGGGTTCAGCGAAGTTTGGTGAAAGTGAGGTGGATGCCGCTACAGTACCTCCTGAATCTCTGAAAATGGATAGCTGCTTCTCCTCGTACTACCGGTACAGTTGTGGACCACTGCCATTTTTGGGAAATCAGCACTTCATCTGAGCACCTCTTCCCCCAAGATGGCAAATAAAACGTAAGAAGGACATATACCTCGTGAAAGACAATATTATTCCTGTTACTCCTAAACCCTAAGCGCCCAGACGAATGAGGCCAGGACCAGGCCACGATCACTGCGCATGCCCGCCAGGGCATCTATCCTTTTGTGCGTCGACATCTGCTAGGGCTTAAGGGGGGCTCCGGTTGTGTTTTCTTGCCGCCCGCCCGCTAACCTGTCTGGAGGGACGAGGGTGTCGGGTTTTCGGGGTTTGCAAATGTTTTGTTACGATTTTCGACTCTCACGGTAGCACATGCGGGCGCGGCTCTTGGTTCTCGTCAGACTCAGAAGACACAGGGGTTCAGGGCACAGGGGTTTCGAGAGGCTTGGACACGCTGGCTGCAGGCGAGGCAGATGGCGCGAGCGTCGGCGAGATCAGTGGACACACTTTGAACGGTTGGAGGCTGAGTTGCTTCAGGACTTGCCGAGGTTCTCCCACTGGCAGGTTTAGGGGAGATTCTGAAGGGCAGGAATTGCTGGGAAGACATCGAGAACGAACATTTATTGCCGCAGTCACAATGTTGCGCCAATGCATGCTACATGCACATTGGTCAGACAGGAATACCGAAGAATGTGACTGGCAGGCGTGTTTTCATGGAGAACGACTTCGCCTCTAATCACGAAAGCTCCAAGGGAGCTTGACGCAAGTACGACTCCATTGATTGGAGTCCTATGTGTCACGTGTGTGGAATCCAGGGTTCTTATATGGAAAACTTGCCCTGGGTGTTTATATGATGCCAAGGTGACCCCTTCACGACCGACCCGGAGGGGGTGATCAGACACTGTAGTCCGACAGCCACATGTTTCCCTTGGGTGGTATATCCCCTGTATCCGTATCTCGCCTATCCACGTCAACCAGGGCTGCTAGAAGGTTGTTTTCTTCCGGTACCAAAGGTGCACACTGCAGTGGCTGTGCAAGCTTGCGGCGCGCAGCACATCGTCGAACAAAACCGCTATCACATGATGTACCGTCATCAATTCGGCACAACCTGGCCCCCGAAATCACTCCTAACACACGTGCAGTGCAGCCCTCTGCTACTTACTTTTACTCGACGCGCTAAACACTATGTAGTCCTGGCCTGTCGTTGCATCTGCTCTGGTCCTCAGATCTAAGTGCGAGCCAAGGTGCGGAAGCGACCCCAAGGCAGGGCAGCTTTCATTCCGCAGCCGCAACTGCTTCGACCTCAGCGGATGCCGAAATTCCGAGCCCACATCCCGACCAGTCCAACCGCCCAGACCGCCGACTCAGCACACATAAGCAGGCAGCTTCGACGTAGATGGGCGCCCTTCCGGCAGTCCCATGGCACGAGAAGTCCACTGGCAACAGTAAATTCAAGTTCGGCTTGAGAAATCGGTGGCTATTCTAGATGCGCCGGGCATCTGATGTTTGTGATTTCTGGTTCGGTCCACTCCCGAGTGGGAGGTGCTAAAGGCATGGCTTGCTCAGGCTCCAATCTCAAACGATTGCTTCGTCACACGTCGCATCGGCACTTCCTACCCGCTTTTGCGAGAGTACTCGTACTAATCTGCCTTGTTATCTCACTACTATGTGCTGCGAGCACTCAAGCAGAGCGGCAGCGACAGACCGAAGCAATCACCTGTAGAAAACCCTTGACAAGCCGCAAACTTACGAGAGGCCCGCAGAAGCAATGCACGTAACCAACGGACCTGCTAAGACTTGAAGAAACCAACATTACGGGCCCCAAGCCAGATGTCACGCTCACATCTGCACATGCCTGGAGGCCTGCCGCCACTGTAGCCCTCTCTGCGGCCAAGCTGTTTGAGGGCGTGGCCGGAGCACTGGGCCTTTCAGGTGCGCTGTTCTCATCCTCTTCTTCCTGTTCTTCTGCTCATCTTCTTGTGCTGCTGGGCTTAGGAACCCCGAGGGGCCCCTGCGCGCGCGCACCTTATCGCTTGTCGATCTCGCTTTCTTTAGCTACAGGCATGCTTGCCGTGTCAGTTTGTTCTACCTGAGCTGCTCGCTTCTGCTGTTTTTCATTGGCTGGTACAGTACGGACGGAGAGTGCTGGGGTCGACTCTCTCTCTCTCTCTCCGTCTCCCTGTGCCCCTCTGCCCTTCAAAAAACTCTCCTCTCCAACTGTGCACTCTACACCGATCGGTCTGAAACTGGTTTGCGATTGCTGATGTCACGCATGTTCTTGCTCTGTATGAGGGCTTCGCATGGGCCTCGAGTCTCGGATGTGCTTCAGAACGACGTGGACATGAAGCTTCGTGCACGATGACTGTCACCACTCTGTCGCCTAGATGTCCTGGGTTTTCTCACCTGGGGTCTCCAAAGCTTCGAGGGCCCCAAGCTAACAGAGTTCTATCAAATGCTTTGATTTCTGTATCACTCCTGTCCTTCTTCTGAGGGTGGGTCTTCACCCCTGAGTCGCCAGCAAGCTTCTCTGCTGTGGGATTTGACATTTGACTAGCTTGTGTACCTTGCGCCTTTGTGTGGCTACGCAATGACATCCCGGGGCAGAGCCGTTCTGACAATGGAAAGGAGGCACACCGAACTGTTCCTGATGGACCCTGGTACATAAGGCAACCGACCCACTGCCAAAGCAAAAGCATCTCCGAACCGAGCGAGCGTTGCAACATCAAGTCCTGCTGAAACCTCCAAACTGCAGCTGTTCAAACATACCCCGTTGTGGCGCTGGCCATCTGCAACTGTCGAGGCTTCATCTTTGGTCCTGTGCCCGGTGTCGAGTTTAGATCTTGCCACTTTTTGCAGGAACCCACAGCTGAGCCAGCTTTTTGATGCCTCTGGCGGGGCAGATTGTAGACAACTTTGCTTTGCCTATTTGCTCCCTCTGGGCAGCAACTCTTGGCGGTATGATCTAATCACGTACTGTGCAACGAGTGTGCAACGAGTGGAGGTGTTTGGTCGTACGGCAAGCCCCGTAGGCACAGACCACCCCACTTGATGCATTGATTGGGCCCCACGAACTGCACTTAAGCAGATGGCAGGCACAGGAAACCTCCTCCGCCACTGAATTCCGCGTTGTCGCACGACCCCGCCGTGGTATGGGAGAGGCAGCTGCTAGCAGTTCTGGCGAGTGCCATTGCTTCGTATCAGAGAACCGCTTCACAGCCGGTCATTTCGCATGAGTGCTCCAGCAGCGGCGTGGTCCTTGGATCAAGCAACTTTGCAGGAGTTGGCAGGGAGGACATGTGCGTCGCTAGGCTGAAGGCACGACAATTTCGCACTTTTTGTCCGAGCGGAATGCCCGGGTACTCGCTATTGCGAGCTATGCATATTAACGGAGATGCCTCTTCTTGGGCAGCTCCTCGTGCAGAACTACATTCAAATTCAAGGAAGGAACTTCTTGTCCGTCTAGCTTTAGGTCTGCAATTGAAAACAGAATGATAAACGCTGGCTGGCAAGAACGTAATTGAACGCAAGCCACCCTGGGACCGACTGTGCTACGCTCAGCAGGATGCAAGAATCGTCACTCCAGCCAACGTAAGGACGACAGTCAAAGGCACTTTGCTCAGATAGCTTCTGAGACCGAAATTGAGGATTGGAAAAGGGCATGCAGCCATTAGCATTGCGACCATCTCACTGATGGCGCGAAGTGCATGGACACCATAAGTGCTAAAGCTACACACATTCGAAGAGGTCCCGTGTGCAATCGGGTCCTCATGCATAGTCTACGGCTCAAATCGATACACAGCTGGCGCATTGCAAGCCATAACTTTCCTAAACCCATCTGAACCCTCTTGAGGGCCTCAGCCATGGTATGGCTCAATGGTGGGAGGCCGAATGTGACACCATGTGGTTCGGGAGGCCGATGCTGCCAATCCAGTCCTCAATCTGTTCGGCTTTTCCCATTGAAACTGGAGCAAACACCGGCCCTGAGCCCTTCAGGAACGAGAATCTCGCGGCACACGTGAAGATTGGTAAAGGGGTCATGATGGATTGCGATGCAAGACGAACAGGGCTTGCATACAGTGTGCGGCAAACTTTGGGGTTACGGATTCTGTTGTGTGCTAAGTATGTGCTGCACCTTGGCATTCGATATGAGCTGGACTGAATAACGAAAAATAGCAGACTCTTTCGAGATCTTGCAGGCGCAGCTGCCACGAACTCGCGCTGGTCCACGAAGGGCTTCGCCTCTCCGAAGTGCCTTGATGTGATTAACCCGATGTTGCCACTTCTGCTCGTCTAGTATCTTCTTGAGAATTTAGAAGCTTCAAAACATTAGTTCTGGCCCTTTGCTCAGAATGGGAGCCCAGCTGCTGGTACAGCAGGCTGGCAACGTCCATCTCACTCATGCCACTCTGCATGTCCTCCAGCCAGGTCGCGATCTCAAAGACTGTCAGTCGTCCCGCCTTCTTCTGGTCGATAATATTGAACAGCATCATGTAGTCGTCCTGCCAGACTTCAGCCCCGTCCGTAGGCGATATGGCCAAAGCGGCGACGGCCTGGAACTTGCTCCAAGTCAACTGCTTGCTGCCATCGTAGTCGATGCTCTCGAGAAGTGCTTGGGCCGCATCATCGGAGTTTGGAAAACCCATGGCTCTCCAGTGCGCTGCCAGGTCTTCCAGCATGATCTCCTCGTTGTTGTTGATGTCTAAGCTACTGAAGATTTGCTCGATTTCGTGCTGCTCGTTGTACGGCAGCGCCCGAAACAAGCGCAGTCCTCGCTGCCACGTCTCACGCATCCACTTCTTGGACCAGAGCATTTCATGCGTCATACGGTTGAACAGCTGCACCTTCCGCACCACCGACTGGAACTTCCTTGTTTTCGGCTGTGTTTTGCGTGACGGCTGCCGAGTGACCGAAGAGTCGTCGACATTCTCCGCCAAGCTGTCTTTTCGCACGAACTTTTTGGCGCGGATGATGGCATGTGCTTTCTCCATAGTTTCTGCCGAGACGTTGTTCTGCTGCGTGAACTGGAACCGCTTGATACGTTTCTCATACCCCATCAGCTGCGCCAGTCTTATATGGAAACGTAGAAGCGTGCACTTCGTCTCCAAGGACACAAGGCGCACTGTCGCGGCGTCCGTTTCATCTCCAATTGAGCTTCGGATCGTAAGCCTCTCCAAGAGCACCGGCATGATGCCAAACAGCATCAGGGGCCACTCTGCCCAGGCCAAAGCATAGAGTACGATCTCTTTTGGGTCGGTGAAAGGGACACTCAAGTAGAAAAGTACCAGACAGGTCACCTGAATGGCCTGCCAGAAGGCAAGGAGCTCGAAGATGAAGGCATACCTTTCCTTAGGGCGCAGAACAGTCACTGTGCCTCCGGCAGTTCCCGTTTTCCAACGACTATGTCGCTCATCTCAAGAAATTAATTACTCGAGTTCCAAAGAAAATCTGCCACTTACTGCATACCCGCCACGGTCGACAGGCTGGCGCGTCTGAAGTTTGCAGCAGGGGACGGTCCGAGCTCCACCTTTTCCGTCTCCACTTTGCCTGTGCAACATGGAGATATGCGAGCTCACAACAGGCATCAAAAACATTCAAAAACCAAGCCACCTGTGCCTTGGAAGCGAAACTTCTAAGGACACTACAGACCACGGAAAGTTTCATGTACTTTGCTGTACAGAGTAGGAGCATAGGCCAGGAGCTCCGAACTTGAGCTCCGCATTCACTGTCAAGGAGACATCATACTGCTTCCTTCGCTCGACATGGGTTCAGGAAGCCTTTTTCAGTCTTTTGGGAGACAGATGAATTTGACTGTTTTATGGTGGCCTTGGCCTCGAAATTCACGACCCTCTTTGTATTTCCTTAGGCGAGACGTCAGTGCCATCGTACCAAATCCCGCTCTCGCCTAGTCCCCAACGTTCTGTACGACGAACCGTGCTACGCCTAAGTCCCATGCA